GGGCCACGACGCGCTGTAGTGGGTTGTGGCGGACGCATGCGGGCGGTCCACCAGGGGCCTTCGGTGGAACCCCCCCTTGGGGCCACGAAGCGCTGTACTGGTTGTGTCCAACGCATGCGGGCGGTGCCATTGGGACCTCTGGAGGAGCCCACTATGGGGCCACGAAACGCTGTACTGGGTGGGTGAAACGCAAGGGACAAGGGCTGTACTGGGTGGTGGCTGACGCTTGCTGGCGGTGCCATTGGGACCTTCGGTGGAGCTCCCTGCGGGGCCACGACACGATGTACTGGGCGGGTGAAACGCAGGGATCAAGGGCTGTGCTGGGTGGTGGCTGACGCATGCGGGCGGTGCCACTGGGACCTTCGGTGGAGCCCCCTGTGGGGCCACGAAGCGCTGTACCGGGAAGGTGAAACGCAGGGACTGGGTGGTGGCGGACGCATGCGGGCGGTGCCACTGGGACCTTCGGAGGAGCCCCCTATGGGGCCACGAAGCGCTGTACTGAGTAGGTGGAATGCAACGAACAAGGGCTGTGCTGGGTGGTGGCTGACGCATGCGGGCGGTGCCACTGGGACCTTCGGTGGAGTTCCCTATGGGGCCACGAAGCGCTGTAATTAGTCGGGGAAACGCAGGGAACAACGGCTGTGTTGGGTGGTGGCTGACGCACGCGGGCGGTGCTAGTGGGACCTTCGGTGGTTTTCCCTATGGGGCCACGAAGTCGCTGTACTGTGTGGATGAAACGCAAGGGGCAGGGGTTGTGCTGGGTTGTGGCGGACGCGTGCGGGCGGTGCCACCGGGACCTTCGGTGGAACTCCCTATGGAGCCTCGAAGCGCTGTACTGGGTGGGTGAAACGCAGAGAGCAAGGGCTGTGCTGGGTGGTGGCGGCCGCATGCGGGCGGTGCCACTGGGACCTTCGATGGAACCCCCTATGGGGCCACGAAGCGCTGTACTCGGTGGGTGAAACGCAAGGAACAAGGGCTGTACTGGGTGGTGGCGGACGCATGCGGGCGGTGCCACTGGGACCTTCGGAGGAACCCCCTTTATGGGGCCACGAAGCGTTGTACTGGGTGGGTGAAACGCAGGGAACAAGGGCTGTGCTGGGTGGTGGCGGCCGCATGCGGGCGGTGCCACTTGGACCTTCGGTGGATTTCCCTATGGGGCCACGAAGCGCTGTACTGGGTGGGTGAAACGCGGGGGGCAAGGGCTGAACCGGGTGGTGGCGGACGCATGCGGGCGGTGCCACCGGGGCCTTCGGTGGAGCTCCCTATGGGGCCACGAAGTGCTGTACTGGGTGGGTGAAACGCAAGGAGCAAAGGCTGTGCTGGGTGGTGGCGGACGCATGCGGGCGGTGCCAGTTGGACCTTCGGTGGAACCCCCTATGGGGCCACGAAACGCTGTACGGGGTGGGTGAATCGCAGGGAGGATGGAGGAGGGGGAAGCGGGACGGGGAGGATGAGGAGGAGAGGAGGAGGGACGCGGGGACCGTCTCTTCAAAACGAGGACCCAACACCACAGGATGGTTTGGAAAACATCGAAATCCGTCCTCTGACTAGTTTTCCCATATTTTTGACTATGTTCCTCCTGTAGAGGGACATGCCCGACTGCTTCGCGCGTCGCGCCCCGCGGGGCGCGACGCGCGGTTCTGCTCGCGCCCTCGCGCCCCCCGCGCCCGCCGCCCTAGGGAGGCGCAGCTGCTTCGGCCCAGGCCGCGGCGCGCGAAGTGCTCTCAGGCCCAGGTGGGCCATGTCCTCCTATACCAAGGCCGCGCCAACGGCGATGTTGGTGAACGGTGCGGTTGGGAATCTGGCTTTCGTGACACCGAGCTCGAGAAGAGCAACGTGTAGGAGGTCATGAAGGGAGGCCGCTTCCTAATGCTCAAATCTGCAAAAGTACCGAACGCACACGACACAGCGAGCTGTACGAAAACACGAACCACGCGTTCCTACAAGTGGTTTGGCCACGAACCGCACTTTCCTACAATTGGATGTCCGACTTCGCCGTTAGCTAACACACCATTGGCGCGTCTACGGTATCAGGGTTAGGTCGGGCATGTCCTCCTATCTATAGACGGATGTTGCAGTGTGCCGGCAACGAGCGTCGCAGCAAACGCCATGCAAGCGCTTCCGGCTGAACTCAGTTACACCTAGTTGCACCTAGTTACGCCTAGTTAACCCTAGTTACCCGAGTTACCCGAGTTCACCCTAGTTGCCCGAGTTACCCTAGTTGCACCTTGTTACGCCTAGTTACCCTAGTTACCCGAGTTCACCCTAGTTACTCGAGTTACCCGAGTTCACCTCAGTTACCCTAGTTACCCGAGTTCACATTACTTATAAGTTACCCTAGTTACCCTGGGTCCGCAGACATCCCACCCAATGTACAACCCTAAGGGGTAAATTCTGCACGCGCACAATAATGTTGTACAGAATTTTATTTGGCTTCTGGCGCCCCGCGTATGCGAGACCTCGACCATCCGACCCTCGATCCATTTCAAAACCTCCAGAGTAATTAGGTATTCGCCAACATCTCAATTCTCGGATCTCGTTGGCGTCGATCCTCGAAGTCCACCTTGGCCTAGATCTAAGTCTTGCACCGCGACGATATCCGAACTTGTCCAAAAAAAACAAAAGGGAATTTCTGTACAAAACGACCTTTTTGTACAGAATTTCCCCTGTTATCGTTATCGCCACCGCGGTCGTCGTCATCGTCATTGTCGTCATCATCACCGTCGTAATCGCCAACATCACAATCAGCCTCATCATCATCATCATCACCGCCGTCATCATCATCATGATCGTCGCCACCGTTCACAATCAGCCTCATCATCATTACCGTCATCATCATCATCATCATCATCATCATCATCATCATGATCGTCGCCGCCGTCGTCGTCGTAAGCATCGTCGTCGGCATCATCATCACAAATGTCACCACGTCGTCATCATCAGCATCATCATCATTGTCGTCGTCATCATCATCACCATCACCATCATTTTCCTCATCGTCATTATTTTGCTCCCATCCATGCGGAGGGCCTCCAAGACCTCCGACGGCGCTCAACGATCCGATCGCTGCTCTGTGCAGATGGTTTTTGATCACTATCGTTTTCATCATCATCATCATCATCGTCGTCGTCATCATCATCATCACTCTAACCCCTCCTTCCCACCTCCCTTTTCCCTTCCCCTCCGTCCTCCTCCCCCCAACCCGCCCCCCGATCCTGCTTTCATCCTTTCCCCCGCTCCCCAACGAACCACCAGCGGGTCCGTGCCACAAGTACTTCCGCTCAGACGCAAATTACCCCGCGCGCTTGTATCTTCAGGCCACCCGGAGGAGCGTCAGTGACAAAGGAAGGTAGCATCATAGCGGCCCGAATGTGCAAGAGAGCCGGACGGAGAATCCCGTCAGGACGGCCGGCCTGCGCTGACCAGCGAAAGGCCGCTGCGCAATCGAGAAGCTGAGCCGTGCAGTGGCTCCTCAGACTCGGAAGTGAGGGGCACAGTGTCTGCATTTTTGTCGGGTCAGCTCGGCAAAGTAAGTGCAATCATCATCGAGGCCAAGCAATGCCTACTCCGACGATTCTGGACTACAGAGGGCCCCCCAAAAGGGACATGGGGAGGCGTACATGTTCTCGCGAATTGGCATCCTGTGAGGCCATACGACGCCGATGGCCCGAGGGGAAAAATCGGGAGAGCGCTGGTCCGCATACCAGTGGATATCCCACTGGTACGATGTCAGTGCAAGCGCCGTGGGTTCATCCCCTCTTCCTCCTCCTCCTCCTCCTCCTCCTCCTCCTCCTCCTCCTCCTCCTCCTCCTCATATCCCCCCTCATCCCCATCCTCCTCATCCCCCTCAGTGTCTTCATCCTCGTCCTCCTCATCCTGCCTATCCTGCTCTTCCTTCTCCTTTCCACCCCCCCCTCCCTCTGCCCCTTCCTGTTCCTCATGCACTCCCTCCTTCCCCCTGACCCCCTGACCCCACTCGCCTCCCCCCCCCTTCCCTCCGCCCCGCCACTCAAATCCCACCGCTCTCAAATCCCCGATCCGCGGCCACGGCGGGCGGGCGCGGGGGAACTTCTGCACAAAACTATCTTTTTGCACAGAATTTCCCCTGCTCATCTTCCGCCGCCGCGCGCGGGCAACCCCAAAAGGAGCCAGCACGCAAACCACATCTCCTCAATACGTTGCAGAGACAAGCGCTGGCATTTTCACGACAACCCCAATTGCGCCCGTGTCGTCGAACCGCTGACCCATCCCAGCGCCCGATCGAAGTGATGCAGATCCCAACCGGCTACCGTCAGAGGAACGAGTCCCGGTTTAGCTTCAGAGCCTCGAGCACCTGAGTCGGAAATGGGCGCAGAATCGACGGCCCTGTCGACCGCGGAAGGCCAGGGCCCGGGAGGGCGAGGGGGAAATTCTGTACAAAACAATTGTTTCGCACAGAATTTCCCCCTCCTCCTCCTGCCCGCCCCAAACGTAATGTTTCTGTTTTGCCCCAGCGCGTCGGGATCTACCCCGCACGGGAGAAGACTAATTGTAGGAGGTTGGGGAGGAGGTTGAGGAGGAGGAGGGTAGTTACATAAATACAGCGGGCAAGGGATATTGCGCTTCACGCCCGAACACCTTGCGGCCCTCGGAAGATACGTCCTCCCAGGAGTTGAGCTTGTAATACTGCTTGGTAGGACCGCGCGTGTTCTTCCCGGCCGGCTTGTCCACCTTCACAAGGATGGTGTCATTCGCCATCACCTCGGCCGCCTCGGTCATCTTCGTGGCGGCCTCAGCGACGCTTCGATAACCGTTGCGTATCTTGCGATGCACATCCGTGGTGCTGAAGACTCCCAGCCCTTTTCCGACCATGACCAAGTCCCGCTTGATCCTGAAGTCCACGGACAGGCCGACGTCGAGACGGGGCGGCCCTGGCGCGCGCTCGAAAGCCTCCGACAGCGCGCTCTCACGAGAATGCGCCGGCAGCGTCGACTCCGCGGATTTCACGTAGCGATAGAAGCCAGCGTGGAGTTCGAGTTCTCGAAAATATCGGTGCATCCCGCCATAAACTCCATGGGGATTACGCAGTGGCGCTGCGCCGCGTCGTGGCCGACCTTGCTGAGAGACGTCAGGAACTGGACCTGGCGCATGGTGGACGACCCGTTCCGCAGAATGTCCGAGAAAGCGAACCCTAGCTTGATCTTGAACCACTTGCTGACGTCGACGCCGGACTCCTCCTTCTCCTTAATCCAATCTCTGATTGCCTGCAGCACGATTCGCAAGAACGTCTGGGTCTGGCCGCTCAAATGGAGGTAGTACGGCTGCTTGAAAGGTCCACGCAACATCCAGTCATGTAAACCCTGGAGGAGCCCCATGGACATGCTCGCGTGCACTCTATCATCCCACGGGTTGTTATCGGGGGACACACTGAACGAGACGCGCTTGAAGAATCCCTGAGGGCCGGGCCTCATGACCCACTCCGCGCCCTCCAGCTGGCCGAAGAGTTTGAATTGGAAGGAGTAGGACCGCAGATGCACCGGGCCCGTGGCTGTGAGAATGTCGTCTCTCTCAGCCTGCGTGCATGTGCAGAGCTTGGACCGTGGAACGCAGTGTGACTGGTCCTTCCCGTCGGACCACGGCGTGACCATGGCGTTCATCAGCTCGTCCGTGGTCACGGCGGCTCGGTGCGTCTTCAGCAGGCAGGTGCGGATGCCACGGAGCGTCGCTTCCGCGAGGTACGCCGAGCCCGTGGAAAGATCGGGTGGCGCGCAGGCGGACTTCGTGATCAAGTCATTGGAAAGATCGCAGCTGCGGCTCTTGCGGCTCGAGGGGGAGCCGCCGCAGATGACGGCCTTGTTGGGGGAGATGCAGTGCGCGCGATGCACCTCCTGCACCACCGCCATGGGCGCATCCTCCTCCGCATCCGCTTCTCCTCCTCCCACTCGAGCTGCCGCCTCCGCTTCCTCCTCCTCGCACTCGGGCTGCCTCATCACCTCGTGGGAGGCCGCCCTGGCCATCTTCTTCTCGCCCGCATTGACTTCGCGCCCGAACGCCGCCCCAATTTTGCGGCAGATCTCATCCGCGCTATCCTGATCGAGCGAGGCCTGCTGGAGGATGGATTCCATCACGTCGTGGAAGGCCGGGGCCGGCGCGGCAGCCTGGGGGGCGGCGCCAGGCTCGGCGGGGGCAAGGGCCCCCGACTCCGCCGAAGCGGCGGCTTCCGGGTCAGATCGGGCGCGTGCCAATGCTGCTTTCTGCTTGGCGCGCGCTCGGCGCTTCGGTTTCTTCTCGTCCTTCCCCATGTCCTCGAGGATGGCCTTCGCGCCCATCACGTCGTCCTGCAGCTGGATCACCGGGTCGTTCTCCGGGGGGAACTCAGAACCCAAGCGCGTCCGGTGGTGTTCGAGCCAGGTGACGTTCGCGCCCAGGCAAAGGAGAAAGGATTCCAAGTGAATCCCTTGTTTCAAGCAGACGGCTTCTGCAGCCTTGAGGATGGGCGTGGGGCGCGAGCCCGTCATGATGAAGTCGTGGCGGACCGCGAGCTCGCGGTGTGTCCGCGTGTCCTCGTGCATGGCCTGGAGTTTCTCCTGCGCGCTTTCGTAGATCTGCGCTTCCGTCTGGAAGCCCGCGAAGAGGTCGGCGGGGAACAAGCAGCCTTGCAAGTCCTGGACATTCTCGGCAGCCGTTACCGCGTTGATGACGGGCGCGGCGGGGTCCGAATCCGAACTCGGCCCGCTGGCGGCGCCGTCTGGCAGCTGGAACTTGAACACGGGGTCCGGCGACGCAGCGCACCTCGGCGAGCACGGTGACCGGGGCCGAGCAGGCTCTGACACAGCTGCGACCTGCAATTCCTCTGGCCTTGACTGGTGGATGGCCGCGCGCGGTGGCTGGGTGCGCCTGCATCGGTGCGCTGGCGGGGTGCTCGTCGCGAGCGCCGCGACGGCGCCCTCCCTGGGCTCCGTCTCGACGACCCCAGCGGGCTCCTCCGCCTTGAGGCGGACGCCCTGCTCGAGCTTAGCGGGCTCCATCTTGATGGGGACGTGCTCCGCCTTGGGCGGCTCGAGCTTGACGACCGGCTCGCCCTTGACGATCGGCGCCGCGGCTGCCGCCTGCGCGGCTCCCGAGGCGCCGCCGTCGACACGCTGCTGCTTGAGGCGAAGCGGCGCCGCCGAGGAATCTGCTGCGCCGCGCTTGCCAGCCGCGGGGGCGTCGGCAACCGGAGCTGCTGCAGCGGCGGCCGCTGGCTGCCTCCGGTCGGCGGGCCCGGGCGGCTGCCCACGCATGTACTTCCCCCAGCGGGCGTGCTGCACCGGGCGCGGTGCCTCGCCTGCGGGCGGGGGCAGAAACGAGCTACCTAACAGACCACCCCTAACCCTACCCGAAGTCCCTACATTCGGGTTTGGGGGGTGCGGGGTCCATCGTATTTGTCAATGTTCCGGACGCCCCCCCACTGGAAATGGGGGGGCGGATTGGGGCGTTCGGGTTGGGTTGGGGTGGCTCGGTAGGCAATGAGAAACGGCAGCACCGGCTCGCGCAATCGAATCGGACTGGCACGTGGACCCGGAACCCTTGCTGATCATTGGACGAGGCCAGGGGGCCGCGGGAATGCCCAAGGGGGCAGAAGGGCCCACGTGGGTGGCCGCGAGCCCACGGCCGACCTCGGAAGACGAAGCCATTCGGCCGGGAGGCCGCATGAGACTGGGCCACTGGGGCATGGGGCCCCAAGGGACAGAGGCAAATCTCAGATGGCAGGGCTCACGGGGCACGCCTTGCGAAATCGGATAACCGATGGCTGCCGAATTCGACCAATGTAATGGGGGCGCCCCTCCCAGCATGTTTGCGTGTCCTGCCGTTACTGGCCCGAGGGGCGGGGGGGAAATTGCGTGCAAAAAACTGTTTTTGCACACGATTTCCCCCTTTCCGCTCTCCATCAATCCCAAGGGGGGGGGCGGGCTGCATAATGCCAGGCCAAGCCCCGAACGACTAAGCCATTTGGGCGGAAGTCAGATTGCCATGGGAAGCCGAACATGACATGCCAATGTGAGAAAACATCAAGCGCCAAGCACCAGGTGGCCACGAGGCAAGACATGCAAGCCGAATGGCCACAGGCTGCCCAGTGCGATCCGCGTTGCAGGGGGGCCGGGGGGAGTTCTATATGACATATGGGTATTGTACGGTATTTTTCCCGTTCCTCCCTCCATCCATTAAAAGAGGGGGCGGGGGCGGCCACCCTGCATCTTTTCGCGACCCGAACCTGGGCGCGGCACCTGGGAGGCAGTCTGCAGCGGCGCGCGCCGGCGTTTCCTCACGCGGCCACCTGCACGTCGCGCACATCGCCCATGACGTCCTTGAACAGTGCGACCAGCTGTGGAGAGGTGTCCTGGCCGTGGCGCTGGAGGGCCCTTGCCAACGTGATCATGTTGCCTATGCGCTCTGCTATCAGCGCGTCTCCGCGCGTCCAGGGGTCCAGGTGCGGGTGGTTGAAGTGCCGGAAATTGTAGCGCATGTGCCCCAAGTTGTTGAGGAGATCCCACCAGTCCCGGCTCATGCCCCTGGCGGCGTCGGGGAAATAGCACACGAAATTCGCCCATAGCCGTTCCACTGGCACCGTTCCAGACTGCATGTCGATGCCGGCCTCGTGGGGCAAGTCGGCAACCTCGCGCCACTTGAACAACGCCTCGACCTTGAGATGAGACACGAGGACGCGGAGGTGCTGCTTCAACTTCGCCTTCAGCACAGAGTCCCGCGAGGGCCGCCATGGCCCGGCCGCGTGTCCTCGGCGGATGCCGCGGCGCCGGGCCCAGGACTTGCGGCCGGCCTTGTACCACTCGCGGAGGCACTGAATCTCAGCCCGGAAACTCTTTTTGGACCCCCGCCCGCGCGGGTGCAAGGCGCCGCGCAGCGCCGCGCCGGCTCGCCGCGCCACGCGCGCCAGCGTCCCCCGAGGCGGCCGCGCACCGAAGTACTCCACCCACACTGGGTCTTGGAGAATCCGCGGCTCCCCCATGAACTGCCTGAAATTATCCCTTGCCGTCGCCGGGGCGCGGCCTGCGACGGCGTCGTACTTCTCCTTCGGGAGCGACACTGCGGCGCGCAACAAGTCGCGACCCGCGGGGGACAGAGGCCTCCAGCAGCCGCGAACCGCCGCGGCGTCGGCTGGCGCCCTCGGCTTACTCAGCCTATTGATGGCGTCGATGTAATCGAACTGGAAGTCGCGACCGTCCGCGCTGTGGGGGCTGACAAAGCGCCTCATCTTGATGATGCAATGCTGCGGGTCGCCCGTAATCAACGCGCACCCTGGGGCGCGGTCCGAGGCGAGAACGCGTTTCCTGGAGGCTGGCGCCTTCGGGGTGGCGCCGTCGGAAACGAGGCGGAGGCCGGACCAGACCTTCGCAAAAGCGCCTCGTAGCCGAAGCCGATGTTTCTCGTAATTGTCCGTGGAGCAGAAGACCGGTTGGGACTCGTCTGCAGAATAGCCACAAGCCATCATTGTGCCCCTGACGTCTTCGAGGAGGGGCAGGAGGGCGGTCTCAATTTGATCCCATGACTCGTGGGTCAGCGGCACGGGCGGGACGAGGAGGGAGCCGTCAAGACCGCAGAAGCCCATGGCCACGGAGTACGCGGTCCCGCCCTTAGGAACCTTGATGATTTTACCGAGTTTGAAGTTCCCGTCCAGCCTGATGCCCCGCGCGTTATAGCACAGCTGTCTTCGCTTCATGACGTCGACTCTACTCTGGAGGAAACCTCGGAAGCCCATCATCAAGATGCTCCTCATCATGGCATCGTCGGGCACTGCGCACACCTGCCACGGGAGGGGGGCAGGGGCGACCGGGGCGCCGTCCAGCGAGAGGGCCTGAGACAAAGCGTTGCTCGAGTACATGGACACGATGTGCCTGCGCACCTCTCGGGAATTGAAACACTCGTACAGGCGCTGGGCCACCCCGAAGAAGAACCGGGCGGTGAAACGCGCCGTGCCCTCCTTGGCGTTGTGCAACACGGCGATGTTCGGGAATGCGGTGGCGATGTCAGAGTCCAACACCTGGAAGTAAGTCTTCAAGGCCTTCTCGGGCGCAGACCTGACGCGCCGCAAGGGAAGCCGATCGGCCAACGACCCCTTCAATCGGCACGTGTCGCACCGCCACGGTTGGGCATAGAACGGCATGGGGCCTGGGACGTCGAGCGCCCAGTAAGGGTACGCGTGGCGTCTTTTGTCCATTACGGCTCGGTGCTCCTCCCCCATCTCGCGGGCCCAGTCCTGGTGCGCCTTGACCCCCGACGGATGCACCTGCACCGGCCCAGGATGCCCAGGCGTCTGGCGGAGGTCCAGAGGCGCGTGGCCCGCCCGCAGAGTCGCGGCCACCACGCGCGCCATGTTCACCGACCGCGCCTTCTTGGGCGAGGACACCGCGCTGGAATCTCGCCGAAGAAGCACGCGCTGATTAACCAAGGTCACCTTGAGCTCGTAGGCGGCATCTCGCAAATCCTCCAGTCTGCACGTGACCACGGCCCCCAAGCCCCACGCGGCCCCCTTGGCATCAGGCGGGAGCTCCTCCACCGGCGCCGCGTCGGCCGACGCCACCCCGTACCTCTTGAATGCGTCCAGCACGAGCGCGGCCTCGCCGCGAAGCGTGGCCTGGCACCCTCGCCGCGGCGGCAGCGCGTCGCCCCTCATCGGCAAAGCCTCGTCGTCGTCGAGGTGGAAGAGCCGGGTATCCTTGAGGAGCCGCAGGGCGCCAGCGCCTCGACCCGTCAAGAGACGATTGAGACGCCCTGCGCGCTCGTCCGCAGGACCCTGCCTGGCAGCCCTGCCATCGCCGGACTGCCCGCGGGACATGGCGCAAGGCGGACGCGCGCCCCGCGCGCCGTCTGAGCCGCTGCGTCTAGACCAGAACAGGGCCATAACAGCAAAATATGCGCCCAAAAGCTGCGTTGTCATGCCAAGACGAAAACTGCTCAAGTGTCAGCTTTGATTGACTGAAGGGGCGGGGGAAATTGTGTACAAAACCATCCTTTTGTACCGAATTTCCCCCCTTTCCTTCCGACGTGCCCGGACTATGCCGGCAATCGCCTGGCTGCTCTTGGCATGGCGTCGCCTACTGATATCACACAACAATTTATTTTGCCGCCCCTGTGGCCTGTTTCCATGAAGGGCTGGTCTGCGGAGTCTTGCTGCGCGCTGCGTCCCCACGGCGTGGCAGCGCTGCAACCAAGCGAGGACCGCGATCCCTGGCGGCCCCCTCGCTCGCGTAGGCCCTGCGAGAGTCTGGGCCGAAACTCTTCATAAAGCAAACGCTTGCTGTCCTTATCCCCCCCCGCAGCCCCCCGAGTGCTGCTGAGACACTGGGCAGCCCGCCCAATACATTAAGGCGTGTTTTGCGGGCCGCCAAGTTGACGCGAGCCCCCTGGGCCGCGGGTGCATGAGTTTCCCCCTAGTGCGGGGGAGAGTGCCTAAACAAAAAAAGGAAAGGAGAGGGAGGCGGAGAGGAGAGGAGGGGGAGACGAGGACGACTCCTCCTTATCCTCCTCCTCCTCCTCCTCCTCCTCCTCCTCCTCCTCCTCCTCCTCCTCCTCCTCCTCCTCCTCCTCCTGCTAGTCCTACTCCTCCTCCTCCTCCTGCGCCAGCGACCTCGACAGGAAGCCTTTTCGACGCTCGCACTCGGACACCCCACCGAGGCAGCATGATCCAAGAGCCGCTGGGCCGCGCACAGCGACCCTAAACACGCGGGAAAGGTACGCGGCAAGGTCCTGGACACCATCATTACTACTACTTCTACTGCTATTAATACTACTACTACTGCCACTACTGCTGCTATCGCTACTACTACTAGTACAACTACGACGACGACGACGACGACGACGACGACGACGACGACGACGACTACTACGTCTACTACTACTACTACTACTACTACTACTACTACTACTACTACTACTACTACTACTACTACTACTACAACTACAACTACTACTACTACTACTACTACTACTACTACTACTACTACTACTACTACTACTACTACTGCTACGACGACGACTGCTCGTGCTAGCCGTACAACTACTAATGCGATTACTACCGCTACTACTACTACTACTACTACTACTACTACTACTACTACTACTACTACTACTACTACTACTACTACTACTACTACTACTACTACTACTACTACTACTACTACTACTACTACTACTACTACTACTACTACTACTACTACTACTACTACTACTACTACTACTACTACTACTACACTACTACTACTACTACTACTACTACTACTACTACTACTACTACTACTACTACTACTCCTACTCCTACTCCTACTCCTACTCCTACTCCTCCTACTACTACTACTACTACTACTACGACGACTACTACTACTACTACTACTACTACTACTACTACTACTACTACTGCCACTACTCCTAGTGCTACGACTACCACTACGGCTAATACTATGCGACCTTCGCCCGCACGGCGCGCTTCGCGCTGATCGGGCTGGCATGGCCCGTGCGCAATTTCGTGGTTGCACCCAGAGCCACGCCCAGGACGGCACCGATCTTGCAGAACCGCGAACCCCTGCTTTTCAAGGGTGTTGCAGAGCAATGCAAAGTAATGCTTTGCAAAGCAATGCAATGCAATCAATGCTAAGCTATGCGATGCAACGCAATGCAAAGAAATGCGCTGCAGATCAGTGCCGGCGGTACGAAGGCGCAGCCAAATATCTGTTCCAGCCCACCGAGAAGGGGCTCAATCGCTCGCGGATGTCGCTGAGAAACTTCTTGTGCTGGGGCCCCTGTGGAATCGTCGCATCTACGAGCCCAATGAGTTCCTTGCATACCCCGTCGAGGAAGTCCGCCCTAGAGTTAGGCGCGATGCCCAAGGACTTGAAGATCTGATGCACGATCCTGCATACATCGTCATCGTCGTCATCGTCGTTGTCATCGTCTTCGTCGTCATCATCGTCATCATCATTGTCATCACCATCGTCGTCGTCATCGTCGTGGCATGCCGCCCCGTGGAAAACCCGGAGGGGCAATTCTGTACAAAGCGGCATTGTTGTACGGAACTTCCCCCCGTCATCGCCATCGTCTTCGTCGTCATCAGGTCGTTGTGAAGCCAATCGGTTTCGTGTCATTCCTCGGGCCTCCGGCGGCAATATGTTGGATTTTTGCGCCGCGTCCAGCCCTGGCAACGAGGAGGAACTCCGAGGGCGAGAAAGCCTTAAACCTCGATCCTCGATGCTCGAGGTTCGAGGCGATCCTCGAGGTACGAGGTTAACTCGACGTGAACTCCGTCGGATTTCGGTTTATAGGTCGTGTTTCCGGCGGCCGCACGTCGAGGGGGATATGATGATGATAAGGATGATGAGGAGGGGTACGAGGAAAGCAAGATGATGAGGAAGGACATGAGGAGGTTAAGGATGATGAGGATGAGGAGGGAGATGGCATGAGGATGTGTACCTCCTCAGACCTCCCGATTGACATCATCGGCCGGAGATCCAAGTCCGACGAATTCAGGGTCGATCGATGATATAAGACCCTGGGTCGGGATGATAAGTCGAAGATCGACGATCCAAGGTCGATCGAATATCGAGGATCCACCGACCCAAGATCGACGATCCAGGCTCGATCGAAGATCCAGCATCCAGGGTCGATCGAAGATCGAAGTCCCAGGATCCATGATGGAGCAAAGACCTACGATCCAGGGTCAAGCGAAGATAACAATTGCATGACCGATGTTTGAAAGCCCCCGAGCCCGAAAACAGGCTCCGGATGCCGAAAAACAACAAAAAATCTCGAAGGTCGAAGTTCGAGGTCCCATGGAGCTCTAAAGGGTCATAGCGCCCATAAGGTCCCTAGGGCCCATCGGGCTCATAGGGCTCATCGGAGTCATTGTGCTCATAAGGCTCATCGGGTTCATCGGGCTCACTGCGCGCCTGGGGCCCGTAGGGCTCATAAGGCTCATAGGGCCCTTAGGGTTCGTAGAGGTCATAGGGCCCATAGGGACCATAACGCTCATAGGGCTCATAGGTCGCATGGGGCTCATAGGGCTGCTTGGGCCCAGAGGGCCCATAGGGCCGATGGGGCTCATAGGGCCCATAGGGCCCGCGAGCTCGAAAACAGCCTCCGGAGGCCGAAACCGAAGAGCAACGTCGAAGGATATGAGGAGGTTAAGGATGATGAGGATGAGGAGGGAGATGGTATGAGGATGTGTACCTCCTCAGACCTCCTGATCGACATCATCGGCCGGAGATCCAAGTCCGACGAATTCAGGGTCGATCGATGATATAAGACCCTGGGTCGGGATGATAAGTCGAAGATCGACGATCCAAGGTCGATCGAATATCGAGGATCCACCGACCCAAGATCGACGATCCAGGCTCGATCGAAGATCCAGCATCCAGGGTCGATCGAAGATCGAAGTCCCAGGATCCATGATGGAGCAAAGACCTACGATCCAGGGTCAAGCGAAGATAACAATTGCATGACCGATGTTTGAAAGCCCCCGAGCCCGAAAACAGGCTCCGGATGCCGAAAAACAACAAAAAATCTCGAAGGTCGAAGTTCGAGGTCCCATGGAGCTCTAAAGGGTCATAGCGCCCATAAGGTCCCTAGGGCCCATCGGGCTCATAGGGCTCATCGGAGTCATTGTGCTCATAAGGCTCATCGGGTTCATCGGGCTCACTGCGCGCCTGGGGCCCGTAGGGCTCATAAGGCTCATAGGGCCCTTAGGGTTCGTAGAGGTCATAGGGCCCATAGGGACCATAACGCTCATAGGGCTCATAGGTCGCATGGGGCTCATAGGGCTGCTTGGGCCCAGAGGGCCCATAGGGCCGATGGGGCTCATAGGGCCCATAGGGCCCGCGAGCTCGAAAACAGCCTCCGGAGGCCGAAACCGAAGAGCAACGTCGAAGGATATGAGGAGGTTAAGGATGATGAGGATGAGGAGGGAGATGGTATGAGGATGTGTACCTCCTCAGACCTCCTGATCGACATCATCGGCCGGAGATCCAAGTCCGACGAATTCAGGGTCGATCGATGATATAAGACCCTGGGTCGGGATGATAAGTCGAAGATCGACGATCCAAGGTCGATCGAATATCGAGGATCCACCGACCCAAGATCGACGATCCAGGCTCGATCGAAGATCCAGCATCCAGGGTCGATCGAAGATCGAAGTCCCAGGATCCATGATGGAGCAAAGACCTACGATCCAGGGTCAAGCGAAGATAACAATTGCATGACCGATGTTTGAAAGCCCCCGAGCCCGAAAACAGGCTCCGGATGCCGAAAAACAACAAAAAATCTCGAAGGTCGAAGTTCGAGGTCCCATGGAGCTCTAAAGGGTCATAGCGCCCATAAGGTCCCTAGGGCCCATCGGGCTCATAGGGCTCATCGGAGTCATTGTGCTCATAAGGCTCATCGGGTTCATCGGGCTCACTGCGCGCCTGGGGCCCGTAGGGCTCATAAGGCTCATAGGGCCCTTAGGGTTCGTAGAGGTCATAGGGCCCATAGGGACCATAACGCTCATAGGGCTCATAGGTCGCATGGGGCTCATAGGGCTGCTTGGGCCCAGAGGGCCCATAGGGCCGATGGGGCTCTAGGGCCCATAGGGCCCGCGAGCTCGAAAACAGCCTCCGGAGGCCGAAACCGAAGAGCAACGTCGAAGGATATGAGGAGGTTAAGGATGATGAGGATGAGGAGGGAGATGGTATGAGGATGTGTACCTCCTCAGACCTCCTGATCGACATCATCGGCCGGAGATCCAAGTCCGACGAATTCAGGGTCGATCGATGATATAAGACCCTGGGTCGGGATGATAAGTCGAAGATC